TGCCTCTGAATGGGTACCCACAGGAGGAGGCGGGGCTTTGAAGCAGCTGAACACCGGTTCGGTCGATAAACAAACTGGCGCAAACCAAAGTTTTATGACCGCCTCTTGTCATAACAGGTCTACCAAGTCCAAGATGTGTTGTAGAATCCATCTAGTTTCTCCATCAGGAGCAGAGCAACCTCTAACTCAAAGATCAAGTTGGCCCATCTTAACTAGATCGGAATAGAGTGGGTGAGAAGGAGGTTCTTGTTAAGGACAGGAAGGATCCATAGGTCTGCCCATGGAAACCCAAGCTTGGGAGAGTTACTTTTTTGGACTCTAGCTCTAACCACTACTCCTAATGTAACTTTCCCAAGTTCTGGTGGAAACCTCTTTACCGTTGAGAAGAACTGTGTTCTCTGTTGCTTTACATCAGGGACTCAGCTTGAATTTACAGGGTCCTGTATGAAAAGAGTGTGGCTCCCCTGAGAGAATATGGGACGAGCTATTTAGGACATCGGGATTAAATATCTATGGGAATGAATAAATAGTCTATGAATGTGGGACTTTGGCTTTTCCTGAGTTGGGCAGCTTCTCGAATGAGGCCTGTAGCGTCTGTGTGATCTCCTTATGGAGCAGTACCTTCCAGTTTTCTGAACTGCGTTTTCTGCCACCCTCTCCTTTAGCCGCGCTGGCTGATGGGAGCTGCTATCCGAAACATATGCAGCTCGTCATTCCTGGAGGATGCCCTAACTGCAGGGGCCGCCCAGAATTTCAAAAGTACCTCGTCCCCAGGCTTAACTGGAGAGGCTGGACGCTGAATCTGGACGCCCTGCGTGCAGAACAGATGCTCTGCCACCGATTTCCCTACCTTTTGCCAAAATCTCAGGGTAACGGTCCTGCGTGGCGTTAGTAAGCCTTGTGCAGTTCGCTCCGAAGCACTCAGGAGTGAATAAACATCAGGAGTGAATAAATAAGTATCTATGGGAGTGAATAGATAGTCTATGAATGTGGGACATTGGCTTTTCCTGAGTTGGGCGGCTTCTCGAATGAGGCCTGTAGTGTCTGTGTGATCTCTTTATGGAGCAGCACCTTCCAGTTTTCTGAACTGCATTTCCTGCTATCCGAAACATATGCAGCTCATCATTCCTGGAGGATGCCCTAACTGCAGGGGCCGCCCAGAATTTCAAAAGTACCTCGTCCCCAGGCTTAACTGGAGAGGCTGGACGCTGAATCTGGACGCCCTGCGTGCAGAACAGATGCTCTGCCACCGATTTCCCTACCTTTTGCCAAAATCTCAGGGTAACGGTCCTGCGTGGCGTTAGTAAGCCTTGTGCAGTTCGCTCCGAAGCACTGCGCGTGGCCGAAAACAGTTCCCTCTGCGGGGGATGCACTTCCCGAATCATTTCTCCACGATATTTGTAACGGACGATGTGCCTCGACAGAAGGGTGTAAAGTTCAGAGCAAATGTAAACAATGCTGTACGATTTGCAAATGTATGTTAACGGCACCCCTTTGTAAAATCTCTTGATTTTATTCGGTTTTGGTCCGGGCTTGATTCTTGGAGCAGGTAGCAGTGTATTTGATTACAAAGCAGATTTGGGTAAATCCGGATGGCTGGTCTTTTGGTCTGAGACTGTCTTGTCTGTTTATAAAATTGAGAAGCGAGGTGAACCCTCTCTGAAATCTTGTCCTCTGCCTGTTCAGCTTCAGGGTGTTCATTAAACCCCAAAATAGCCATTGTGAAATGAGGGCAAATCCCTGGGTGTAGTGGCACTCTTAATCGGTGCCTGTGGCATCCATCTCACCCTCGAGATGTTGCTCCCTTGCTCCCCCATACAGGTGAACAGCTTTTCTCAGGATAACATTTGACACCCAGATTCTTAGTTAATCCAACTCCCACGATTGTCTGTGGAGAACTTGCCAGCTTTTAGGTTCTACCTTTGTTGTCGTTTAGTCGTGTCTGACTCTTCGTGACCTCATGGACCAGAGCACGCCAGGCCCTCCTGTCTTCCCACTGCCTCCCGGAGTTGGTTCTACCTTTATTCTACTGATAATAATGACCAGCCTGTGGTTTCCTTTAGGAAATCAATCCATCTCGTATTGCGTCTTCCTCTTTTCCTGCTCCTTTCCACCTTTCCCAGCCTTACTGTCTTTTCCAGAGAATCCTGCTTTCTCAGGATGTGCTCAAAGTAGGACAGCCTCCATTTCAACATTTTGGCTTCCAGAGAGAGTTCAGGCTTGATTTGATCTAGGACCCCCTTGTTTGTCTTTCTGACCATCCAGGCTTCAACAAAGCTCTCCTCCCACCCTACATTTCCTATGAATCATTTTTTTTTCCTGTTGGCTCCATTAACTATCCAGCTTTCACACCCATGCCTGGTGATCAGAAATAGAAGTGTGTGGATGATCTTGATCTTGGTCTCCAGTGACACATCCTTACACTTGATCTTTTCTAATTCCTTCCTGTTTCAATTTCTTCATTGTTAGCGCCAAAGTTGTTCACGCTGACGTGCATCACCTTATTCTTCCACCCATTTGCTCCATGAATCACGATCCCGGTTTGCTCTTCACCGGCTATCTGATACCTGTCTGCCACTTTTCATATGTACCACTGACCATGCTTCCCATTTTTATATTGCAACCGAAAGACTCAGACCATGATGTAGAGTTGTATGTCTTCTCTACCCCCAGGGACCTCATTCTTATAGGCGTAAGGCACAAGATGGTGCATTTACATTGAATATTTGGAAACAACCTTATTTATTTCTTAATTTATTTTATTTTTTCTTCTTCACTTTTTCTTTCTCTTACTTTCCCTATATATATATATTTTATTTTACTGCACCTGTTACTGAATTAGCATGCACTTGCCTGTGTTTTATTGTTCAGTTTTGTATTGGAAGCCGCCTAGAGTGGACTGGTAGTCCAGACAGGCGGGGTATAAATCAAATAAATAAATAAATAAATAAGCTTGTTTGACAGATGTCCAGCTGGGGGGGGTGGTCTCTCTCTCACACACACATAAGTGGTTTCCAGATACAATTTTGTGCATCAGGTAGGAGGTTGGAACTGGTGGGCTTTGTGGTTCTCAAACTGGGGTCCCCAGATGTTGTTGGCCTGCAGTTCCCAGAAGCCTTCACCACTGGCTGTGCTGGCTAGGATTTCTGGGAGTTGGAGTCCAAGAACATCTGGGTTACCCAAGGTTAGGAAGCACAGATCTAGAACTACAGTTCTCACCCTTGGGTCTCCAGATGTTCTTAGACTACAACTCCTAGGAGCCTTCACCACTGGCTGTGCTGGCCAGGATTTCTGGGAAGTGGAGTCCAAGAACATCTGGGTTACCCAAGTTTGAGAACCACTGGAAGGATGCCCCCATCCCAATTGCTATTTTTATAGCTCAACTTTCTGTTTCCGATCTTGGAATCCATCCTTGCAAATTCTTTTCCCCAGCTTGCTTCTGCTGGACCAATTTGCCAGCCCACAAAAGTGGCGCCTGTAATTTGAAGTTGCCCGTTGGTCCCAGTGGCGAAAAGTGTGTTGATAAGAATTAGAGGGATACACATCTGCCTTTTGGATTACAGCTCTCAGAATCCCCCTCACCGAGCTGCTCCCTCCATTTAAATGAGTGGGCAAGGCTATATCGGGCAGAAGAGCATCAGCGTTGTCTTGCAGCTTTGGCTCTTCAGCAGTACTACATGTTCCCCCTGGTAAGACTTAGAGGCAGCCTAGCTAAAATGCAGGGCATTCCTATTGAGAGGGTATGGAATTCTGCTGGAGAGAGAGAGAGCAGAGCTTTCTAGTCATGACCATAGCATTTATTCATAATATTATTGCAATCATTTCTTTGTCACCTTTGCCTAGGTAATAGCCAGCACTCAGTTCATAGTGCTAGTTGTTACCTATAAAGCCATATACACCTTGAGTCCATCATTGGAAGGACTCCATTCTCTGAAGGTTCATAGGAGCCTTCTTGGCCCTTAAGATCTTCCTGGGGAGGCCCTTCTATTGGTCACGCCACCTTCCCAAGCTCGCTTGGTGAGGACACGAGACGGGGCCTTCTCGGTGGCGGCTCCCAGGCTTTGGGACTCGTGGCCTCGGAAGCCAAGTTGGACCCCCATCCCTCTTACCCTTCCACCTTCATGCAAATACCTTCCTCTTCAGACCAGCCTTTAAGCAGTTAGGTTAGGTTATCTCGGGAATGCTTGTTTTTAATATCCAGGTTTTTAAATGTTTCTGAATTGCTTTTATACTTGATTTAATCTTAATGTATGTTTAATTAGTTTTCTTAAGGTGGAATTTGTATAGTGTTTTTAAATTTCTTATTTTACCTGCTGTGAGTTATCTTGGGAGGCATACAAATAGTGAGATCAGAAGACAACTCTTGTTGTTAATTCTAAAGGTTGCCAGGATTAAGAAAAAGGAAAAAACCAACAGCCTTGGATTGATAAATGATGGGTTTTTCTTTCTTTCTTTCTTTTTGCTGATCCCCGTGAACATTCCAGCCTATTGATTACGTATGTGCCTTAGGGTTAGTGTGGACTCAGTTCACGGAGGGTTTTAGTACACTCATTGTCTTCCTGGAAGGGAATAAAGTTCTCTTGACAAGCCATCTTGGTGATGGGAAAGCTGCCCATAAAGCAGTAAGTAGCATGACTGCAACTGTCTTGGGGCTGCTTTCTGCCCTAATATATACAGTAGAGAGAGCAGAAGTGTGTGTGTGTGTGTGTGTGTCTGTGTGTCTGTGTGTGTGTGTGTGTGTGTGTGTTTGTGTGTGTGAGAGAGAGAGAGAGAGAGAGAAATGTTTATATGATAACCTGTGATTGGAGCAAGAAAAACCAACTGGTATCATGTACAATGAAGAGTCCATGTTTTGCTTTTTATTTAGGAAGAATTTATTATTTTATTTTATTTATTTTTATTTATATCCCGCCTATCTAGTCGATAGACCACTCACAGAAGATTGTATATCATGCCATTTTACTTAAGTTGTCTCTTAATTTTTTTATTCCTTTAGAAAGCCCACCGGCAGCGATGTCCAGGAATGGATACTTCTTTGAAGAAGCAGGCAAGTTCCATCCTATTATTTTTTTACGTAGCACAATTTCTCTTTTAAGTTTGTATAACCAAAACTGTACCAACAACATGAAACAAAGAGTGCCAGTGACTTGCAGTACTAGTAAATTTGGAAGTGTATGCATGCACTCGTCGTGATGGTTTGTTTATTAATTAATTAATTAGATTTTTTATCCCGCCCTTCTAGACCAGGGTCCAGCACCCTCCATAAGGAGAGCCCAAACATCCAGGTAGATGGATTGGTCCTTAATCAGCAAATAAGAAGCAGGTCTTTTGTAAATCCAATAGTTCTTAATTGCTCATTCCAGACCAAGGTTCCCTCAAATGCTTTCCGTCACAAACGGGATTGTTTCCAACAATATATGGTTCTTGGGAAAATGCATTCATACCCCCAGCTGATGTGAGGATTGTAGCTACACTCTGTGGGAACCAGGGAGTGGCAGAGGATGCCGTGATTCCTGATCACCAAAAAGTCTCCGGTCTCTGACTCTGCAAATCCTTGCTCCAATAGGCCACTGGTTGGCAGGTTTGAGCAAACCCCACCTTTTCTAGAAGTAAACAACATTTTCCAGTGGCGTGCCAGCCATTTTTGAGGAAGCCTCGGTCACCAGGCTTAGAGAGAGTTTCACTAAGATCTTCCTTTAAAAGCAGGGCACAACCTGTTCCCTTCTCAGCCGGCTGTTACAAGATCCGTATATACCGTATTTTTCGCTCCATAAGTGTGCACAATCTCTTCCCTTCTCAGCTGGCCGTTACAAGATCCATATATAATTTAAAAGAGCTGATGCCTGCATTTTGTTGTTTTACTTTGCCCTTTTCTTCCTGTTTCCTTCTGTGCCGTATTGTTCTAGATCAGAGATGGCGAACCTACAGCACGCGTGCCAAAGCTGGCACGCAGAGCCCTCTCTTAGCACGCGTGCCAAAGCTGGCAGGCATGCGAGCCATAAGTTGCCGGATCGCCATCCCCGACAGCCAAACCTGAGGGGGTGGCGGATCGCGATCCCCGACAGCCAAACCTGAGGGGGTGGCTGCTGCTGCGGTGTTAGCACCTCGACAGATGGCAGGCCAGGATCCAGAGCATCTGGCGCTGGCGGCAGATCTGGAGTGGGATCTCGAGGCACCTATGTGCCCAGGATTCCCCCTTCCGCCGACGCCCACTGGGTATTTTTTTTCCGGTTTGGGCCCTCGGGCTCAAAAAGGTTCACCATCACTATTCTAGATTGTACGCCTGGAGCCCGAGGCTGCGCCCCTCTGGATCCGTGGGGCTCCCCCCCCCCCCCCGAGCTGTGTTTTATGCTTGTTCAGTCTTTGTTCGTTTCTTTCCACCCTTCCATATCGGTCCACCATTCCATATCTCAATCCGAGCAATTCCTAGAAATCTTCTCGCATCCTGCCGCAATCAAGAACAAAAAAAAGTTTTTGTAGGGTTCACTGGCATTTCCAAGAGAGCACTTCCTTGCTAGGAGAAATCAATCTACTTGTTTCAGGAAGGATGACATGGCAGTGATCCCTTCGACTGTGTGAACTCTGGAGGGATCTGTTAATTGGCGCGGCTTGGCCGTAGGAGCAGAGAGGGCATAGAGATCTCCAGATGGTCACAGTTCTTGTTCATAACTCCTTTGTTCCCCTACTGCTGTCCCCCCCCGGTCCTAGTTTTAGCTGTTTTTCGGTGAGCATTGTCATTGGATCTGGTCTTTTTGTCTTGTTTATATCTTTCCAAAAACCGTTGCTTGCGTATGGACTTGATCCAAAAGTGTTTCTGCAGTAAATCTTTTCAAGATGCGACTGGGTTGTCTCCCTGCTGTTTGTTGATGTACAGAAAGAGTACATGCACACACACACACACACACACACACACACACACACACACAGAGGCATACACACAGAGAGAGTGAATGGTTTTGTGGTAGGTGCTTTATTTCTAAAGCAAATCTATCTGGTGGTTTGCATGAATAACTTCCCCCCTGCCTTGCGTCGAGCCCGAAGCTGCACACAAAATGACAGCATTACATGAGATGGTTACATGGAGATGCAAAACTGCAGCCTCCAAAATGGCTCGGCCTGAGGACCCTCAGAGAGAAATCTGTAAAGGGTCAGTAGCGCTGAATCAAAATTAGCTTGGCTAATTTCACTTTCCCCCTTAGCAACACCTCACTTTGGTTTTCTTTTCCAAGCCCCTAATCCTGAGTTCCCACCAGAAAAAACCTCTGTTGTTATTAAGGGTCCACTGTGGTTTCATCTGTGGTTTACTTGAGGCTTGTAGGAATGTACTGTATTTTTCCGTTTATAAGATGCTCCGTTGTATAAGACTGCACACAAAAGACCAGCTAACGACACCCATCAATCACAGTGACAGACTATCTCCCCCCCCCTTTTCACAAAAATACACCCACAACAGAAAACACCCTGACCACCCTAATCACCCAATCTCCTGAAAAGGACAAAAAACTGATCCCACATCTACAAATACACAACTATCACACACACTATACCAGAACACAGACAGAGTTCTAACTCCTGTCCTCTGAAGATGCCGGCCACAGGGACTGGTGAAACGTTAGGAAGAAAATTCTCCAGAACAGGGCCAAGCAGCCGGAAAAACCTACAACAACCGTCTTCCTTTTACTTTGGAGTTGTTTGGCAGTATCCTCTCAGCTTCCTTTTATTTTTGGAGTTGTTTGGCAGTATCCTCTCAGCCCTCTCAGGTTGCTCACCAGCTTTGGGTGAGATGAGATGTTAGCCACCCAAAGAGAGATGGAATTTCGAAGAGATTCTTCTTACCTAGAATAGGTAAGGAGAGCCCCCTATTAGGTCTTTAAGAAAAGAAATGTAATTAACAATTGGTTAGTGCAGGTGGAGTTATTTAGTCATTGCCTACATGACAAGAACGACACAGCCATGTGGAATTAACTACCATGAGGTGAACCACTAATTTAATTGGTTGGAGGTAGTATAAAATGGACTGCAAGGAGAACAAACATTCTCCGTTCTGAAGGAAATCAACCCTGAGTGCTCACTGGAAGGACAGATCCTGAAGCTGAGGCTCCAACACTTTGGCCATCTCATGAGAAGAGAAGACTCCCTGGAAAAGACCCAGATGTTGGGAAAGAGTGAAGGCAAGAGGAGAAGGGGACGGCAGAGGACGAGATGGTTGGACAGTGTCTGCGAAGCAACCAACATGCATTTGACCCAACTCCGGGAGGGAGTGGAAGACAGGAGGGCCTGGCGTGCTCTGGTCCATGGGGTCATCAGTCGGACAGGACTTAACGACTAAACAAAGAATAAATTAAGAGGCTGGTTAGTGTGCCCTTCACAGTTCTATTTTGACTGTTATGCTTAGGTTCGTTTGACTCCTGAATGACTATGTTTATGTTCCTGTGAGCACTATGTAAATATGCACAGCAAGTAAATATTCTCTGCGCTTCTTCCTGGTCTCCTCCTGTGCGCCTTACTACACTGGAGCTTCTGGTCCAAAGCTTCGTAAGGAGAAAATCTGCTGTGATTTTAAACTGCTAACACCTCCCACCGCCCAGTCTACAGATCTCATAAACTCACTCCACCGCCCAGTCTACAGATCTCATAAACTCATGAAGTGAAGACCTTGTTAATGAGCTGCTGGTTGAATTCCTGGCCATGAACCCAACGGTGGGGTCAAGAACACAACCAGCATCTCATTGGTGAGCAACCCTGTCCTGCCAGCACTCACATGGGTGTGAGTCTTTACTTTGTGCCGGTTTAAAGTAGTACAACAGGATTGTGGCCATTAGGAGGTGACGTCTTGGCATAGATAAATAAATTCACGGAAGAATCGTAATGGAGAAGTTTCCATCTAAGCCAAAGTATGAGAGGAGGCGATTCCTTAAAAAGGAGTTATTCTTAACACCGGGTTTCGTCGCTCTTTGTCTGTGTGCAGGGTCCATCTGTTGGAAGAAACCTCGTGCAAGATCCAGAATGCAGTTCATTCTCACCAACATGCTTCTGCTTCTTGCAGTTTACATATCTGAAGTATTTCAATTTTTAAATCTCGAAAATAAGGGCTTGTGAGTCACGTAACTGGAAGACACATGCAAACTTTGACCTCTAGAATTCTTAAAAATGTGTTTCAGAGCATCTTCTCAGCGCTTTTCATCCTCCCCACCCCCCAGAAAATTTCCTGGGAGACTCCATTGATTTATAAACCTGCTTCTGTGTGGACTGTGAACTGCATGTCGCCTTTTTATATCAAGGCATTTTTAAACCTTTTTTTTCCATTCCCCCAACCCTACCAGATCTGCTGGTCGAAACTTGGTTGGCTGGCTAGCAGAGGAAGGGAATGCTTTGACTATAAATCATACAGAATTAGGAAGGCTTTTTATTAACTGGAGTGTTCCCAGAATCCTCTTCACCCCATCACTGATATAAACAAACTGGAGAGCCCATCTTTTCCTACGGATCGTAATTGAGACCCCATTTTCTATGCCTTTATCCAATTTTAAACCTTTGCTCTCAAATGGATGCTAAAATGCATCAATTTACAAAATCTGCCAGACAGATCCATTTGCTTTTCCTTTTTTGCAAATAGATGAAGAACACTTTTTTTAACCTTCCATGGCATTGCATTAATTGCAAGTGAGAGGGTAAAGTAGAAGAAGCAAGCCTGTTTTGGGGTTAGATTGGTTTTTTTCCATGTTGTTGAATCCATAGTGAAATTCTAGGCACGTCTATTCAGAAGTCCCATTGAGTGCAATTGGAGTTACTTTCAGTGGGAGAGAATTTGTAGCCTTCCAGGTCTTGGTGGATTCCGTCTCCCATCAGATCCCTCTGCCACACAGCCCTTGGTCAAGGAAGACTGGTACTGTTGTTCACGGCTACAAAGTCACCCTTCCGGTTGTGTATGGCTGCAACATTGATCCCTGATGTCCTCTGTCAGAGATGATGTCAAATGTTGGGTCTGAGTCCCAGCGTTGAGTTGGAGTCTTTGATACTGAATTCCAAACCCCAAGTTCCTATAAA